TATGAAATTAGCCAGTAATTGAAACTGTCCAATTTAAAGTATTGTTATAATATCGTATTGCATGCACGTGGCCTAAATATACACATAATTATCCGCACATCCGTAAAGGTGTTACGTCATTTTGACGTATATATCCGCATTAGGTTTAACTGTTTATGATCGAAAAAAAAAAAAAAAATCCATCAAGAAAGCTAGTTTTTTGTAACAGGAAGCCAAATTGTTTTTCCTTGTGAACTTTAAAATAATTTCATATCATAATAATATGTTTTATAAGAATTTTAGCGGTGTTGTTTACTTTGTGTTTGGTGCGGTATTTAATGGCGGAAATTAATGATTATCATGTTAGAAAAGGGGAGATAAACACGGCGGTGTCATTTTACGTTCTTTGGTACAGCTATCCAACCTCGTGGGTTTTTCTCCGGGTCCTCCGGTTTCCTCCCACTGCTAAAGACCCCTACGTGCAAGCGAATTATTGAAATAAACTTGACCCATGTGTTGGTCCCGAAATGGCCTAGTTTGTGTCGCGTGGACGTTAAACCCCATTTCTCCCTCTCTCCCTCTCTTTGGTACAGATTATATTTACGTTTTATTATATGATTATACATGGCCATGAGCAGTAATATTTTAATCTGTTGGAAGAAATATTCTGGTAGTTCTCTATGTGGGTTTGTCTTATTGCTTTTCCACTTTATTGTTCAATCTGATTAAAACACAGATCCTATTTCGTTTCGTTTTTATAGTTCAAAATTTCGTTTTACTTGTAGGCCATCGAAAGTATAAAAAAAAAACGAAACGAAATAGGATCTGTATTTTAATCAGATTGCTTTATTGTTGTGGTGTGGTCCTCCTTTAAAGGTACACGAAAGTCGTAGGCTTTACGGCAATAACGGACTGGGTCTTATAATGGGTTCGGCCACCCTACATCTATACTTGATCTGCCCATTACTCATTAATTGGTTTCCGGCAGTATTTTCATCCAGCGCAGTGATCCGTCTTCTACCTAGTGGTCCGCTCCTGGTATACGGTTCGTAAAGAATATTAAAACGTCTGTGTCTCAGCAATGATTTTGGAAGTCTGTCAAAATTGTTGATACAATCTCAATTGAACAAATCAAATCAAGTGAGAATTATTGGATCAGGAACCGGTCCGCAAGTGCTACTCCTCTTGTTGTTGGTGGTGGTGGTGGTCTTCTTTGGTTGTGGGGGGGGGGGGTACTCTTCGAGAAAAAAAAAATCGCTATAGTTCCGCCAATGGAATTACAATCATTATATGACGTTACAATTTCAAGATGGTGGTGATGACGTCATGCTCGGGGTTTGGTGTTTATATTTTACCCTACCTAGATACTTTGACACTATAAAATATTTTATGAAACGCAACTGCATATATAAAAAAAAAATCAATGCGCCTGTGACTATCATCAGGGCTTTAGTGCCATGTTCAGAATCCTGTTACCTGTATAGAGAGTAGTGAGGTTGCTGTAAGGAGTATATGGTGTATATTTCTGTTTCGACTGGTCTGTTAGGTGATAATGACCATATGAAGATACCATCATTCCAGATGTGGCTACAGCTATATACTTACCAATCTTTACATATACTGTACACCACGTGTGTATAATACTAGTTAATACATACTTATATAAACCTACCGGATACAGAAAGGGGGAAGTTTGGTTTATTTGTATCGTAAAGACGATGCCGGGTATTGTGGTGCGAATAGGGGGTGGGGTGAGGCTAAAATATACACTTTCTCAACCATGTTCCATGTATACCACATGTAGGTAGCACCAGTTAATACACACTTATATAAACCCCCTGATTGCTTTATTTGCATCGTGAAGACGATGCTGGGTATTGTGGTGTGAATGGAGGGTGGGGCGGGGCTAAAATATACACTTTCTCACCTATGTGCCATGTATACCACATATAGGTAATACTAGTTAATGGACGGGTATATAAACGCTGGAGCAGACAAATGGGATATCAATTCGGTAGAAGCGGACGTTAAATAAAGCTATTTCACACACACAAATGGGACGTTTAACCCCATTGTATTCATTTAATATATGTAGGAAGGGGTGTTTGATTTTTTTGGTATCTAAGACGATGTGACGTGAATTGGGGATATGGAGTGGGGTGTAGGTGATACTGGATGAATCAACTCGACAGATACAGAGAGGGGAGTTTGATTTATTTTGTATCGAAAGACGATGTAAGGGATTACAAGGAAGATATGGGAGTGAGTGGGGGGGGGGGGGGGCTAATAAGTCATGAAACAATTTGTGGCGACGTTTTGTTTGGGTTAGCTAACTAAACGTATTTATAAATGCAATACAATTACAAAGGTTGTCTATCGGTTTGTTAGAACGTAGCGGTATATAAAAAAAAAAACTTCCGAAAATCCCTCGAATATTTTGTTTGTAATTTATATATACAAACAATGTACACGTGTTATTTACATTAAACCCCCTTTTAATATTCGGGGGATCACGTGGCTAAGTGGGCAAGGCGCTGGCTCGCTAGCCTGGAGGTCGGGTGTTCGATCCCTGCATTGGCCAAGAAAGTTCATCCAGATTTTCCGGCGTGGTTTCCCCTTGTCAGTGATGCAGTACGGAGGGCCTGATGGGACGAAAAATCCCTAATAGCACACTGTATGGCGTATGGTCGTCTTCATTAGCCCAGTTTAGGAGCAGAACAGGACGTTAAACCCCATTTCATTTCCTTTTAATATTATATATCGCACACGGAATAGACAGATAAATATGAAACTTCAAACAGATCATTAGATAGTTTATACCTACAGCAATGGGCTCGTCATTAAAAATTAATATAATAGAAACCCGATAAATATTTTAATATTCCTCCCGTTTATATCACAATTATTTGAAATATTATTCAAGGTAAAATAGGTAATGTGATACATTACTTCAGATTATATTAGCTTTCTTTAATGGTGTATCTGTGAGAGAGAGAGGGACAGAGAGGGAGCGGGGGAGAGGGAGAGAGAGGGAGAGGGGGACTGAAGAAACATCCAGAGAGAGAGGGGGGCTGAAGGAACACCCAGAGAGAGAGAGAGAGAGAGAGAGGGACTGAAGAAACATCCAGAGAGAGGGGGACTGAAGGAACACCCAGAGAGAGAGAGAGAGAGAGAGAGAGTGAGAGGGACTGAAGAAACATCCAGAGAGAGAGAGGGGGGCTGACGGAACACCGAGAAAGAGAGAGAGAAAGAGAGATGAGAGAGAGAGAGAGAGAGAGGGGGGGGGGGTAATGTGTAAAAGAATATTGTGTATTGTATATCGGGTGATTATCATTAGACAAACACCTAGTTCATTACCTAATACACAAGACTTGATAATAATTATTGGACAAAATATACAAAATCACGTTAATTAGTAAACCGAAATGAACCAAAGTTATACATGTACTTAATTTAGGGTGGAGATGTGGAGTGGGTGTTGGGTAGGGTACAGCAATGGCGATAATATATGCAAACTTTAACTGTGCATATCAATAATAGGACTTTTGTTCGTTTTCTCCATCAACAAAACAAATAATAATCTATTTCTCGGGAGTCGCTGCTCTCGTTGGTATAGAGAAAACCAATCGTACGATGACTAATAGTAACGCATCAGTCAGAATACCAGAAACAAGCTATTCTACTTGTTCGGCTATTTTTACAACTTTTCCTATATAGTTTGGGGTTTCTATCAAATGCAGTTCTGCATTTCATTTAGGCCTATGAATAACCCAATCCTAGCGCTTAAATATTAAAATAAAAGAACTTTAATTTCCCATAATATATATATAGTGATGATAATAATTCAATCATTTGATAGTGCAGATAAAATCGAACTATACACCCAATTAATGAGAGCAAGAGAACAGCGCTTTACGCACAACAAAACGGATAAGATTAACCTGCGGAGAAGACAAAGTAAACAAAGGTACACTTTGGCACCGATATAATATACATGGCACTGCATAAACAACAATTCGGGTATAAATAAAATAAAAACAGGTAAAATGATAAAAAGAAGACTGTAAATTTTATGAAGAGCTTAAAAATTAAATAGGTGTGAATGAATGAAACGGGGTTTAACGTCCTACTTTTCTGCTCCTCGGCTAATGAAGGCGTACTATGAGGGGCAATTTGAGCGGAAAGAAATTGAATTTCGTAGGCCTATGTGTGACTGTGAAATACATGTAGCTTTATTTTACGTCCGCTTCCACCAAAGCGATATCGCAGACGTGTCCGGTTCTTATAACATAGATCCCAAAAGGTGTACATGCATGGGACATCGTTTTTTTAAATTCCATCCGAACGACTTGGCATACAATATGCCATATATACGTTTGACATAGTAATATTTTAAACCCCCAGCACGCAACAGTAACAGAGAGAGAGAAATGGGGTTTAACGTCCACTAGTAACCAGTACGGTATTTAATGCTGGGGTAATTATGTTATTTTAGAAACATCACGACCTGCTTTGTTGTGGGTTTTTTTACATCTTTTGAAAGATGTTAATAGTTTTGAAATAACATGGTTAGCCATTACGTTTAGATTTCTATGACCGAAATTTGACCTCATCAGTGAAATTTGTGAATGAAATAATGTAACACGTGCGTCTTTTAAAATTAGGTTAACGTTTTAAAACCACGGTATGATTGTTCCCATCTCGGCGATATATAGCGGTAAATATATTGTTCGATGAAGAAAGTCAGAATAATATCAGCTTCAGTCGTACAGATTATTCGGTAAAGGTGTAAAAATAACCTGAAAGTGTATCGCTATACCTACATGACGTCAATATACGCGAGTTGTAGTTGCCTAACCCCCTATTCTTGACTCGACCAATCGCATTAAAACACATTGAACCATGTGTGATGTCAAAGTTATAGACGAGTCCATTTCACTCTTACTTGGGGTAAACGTGTTACAGTCATGGTATACTAACGGTAATTTGCCGCAGTATCTGATTCTATTTGTAGATTTTCTTGACGTAGTAGGATTCTGCTATCATCTGACTACCTATATGCCAAATCGCATCCCTCATTCCGTTCTCTTCGCGCAGTAGTAAGATTCGGTGTCGGGCGTAAGATCTGGCGCCCCTTTCTCTAGGAGCTACCAATTACGGCTATAGTCGATTCACATCCAACAGCAGGTTGCTTCAGTGAGATAGGGGAATTCACTCGGCAGGATTTTACTTACTTCACTAGTTTCATTTCGACTAAGTATCACCTCATCTTTACAGGGGAAGGGGAATTTTTTAGAAAGTAATTTTTATGAGCCGAAGGTGATATTTGTAAAGAGAGGGGCATATTGAAGCGAGTGCCATGGATGTAGCATTCGCAAAACCGGTGAGAGAAGTATTAGATAACTTCGGCACCGATGAAAATTCTGGTTTGTCGGATGAGCAAGTCAAAAGAGCTTTAGAAAAATATGGACCTAATGGTAAGTGGAAAATTTATGATATTAACTTTCTTGGAAGGAGATATCGTGGTAGAACCATATTGAGTTACTTAACGAACGTCGATGTGTGATGAAACTGTCATGGCGGCTTCCACGCGAGTAAAATGTGACTTTTGGAATTGAATATATTATAAACGTGTCCTATTGTGATATGATATAAATTGATATCCATGAATGATAAATCGGTGATTTAATGGTCAATTTTTTTTTCTTGTTCTTTTCAGAATTGCCCGCGGAAGAAGGTAAGTTTAAATGGAGTATAATAATTTCTTTCGAAGTGGTTTTTGGCAATTAATAGTGATCGCTTATGTTATCAACAAAGTCCCACACGTCATTGAGAATTATCAACAAATCTGAAAGTTGTGTGATAAAGCTGATTTCACTTATGGATTAAATAGTTTATTCTTCAAAGTGTTTTGTAAAAATTCAGGGTAAAAATTGTGTGCTTCTTGATTTCCAGGAAAACCTTTATGGGAACTTATTTTAGAACAATTTGATGATTTACTTGTGAAGATTTTACTCTTAGCGGCTGTGATTTCATTTGTAAGTATTTAAAATGAATTTTTAGTTTTTTTCACAAATTTTAAGCCCCACCCCACAATGGAAAAGCTTAATAGCCTATTAAACAATCCTTGTAGAATGTATGTTGTTTTACCCTTGTAGTGAGTGTGATTTAACGATGCAATGCCTAACCTCATCCAAGCAGATGTTCGGGCAATTTTTACCTCTTTTGACCTTCACCAAGGTCTTTACCAAAATAGCAGGCAGTGAGGCACCAATAGAATACTGACACGATATGCCAACCATACCCATGATACTATTCCTACCTTAGGCTAACACATTCTTCCCACCAATAATGGCAACTCTTATCTAAACACTTGCATTATTAGATACATTGTAGCACGAGTGATTTCTACTAAACCAGAAAAGATATTGAACTTATTTTAAATAATAGATTGTCGTATATAATATATCTACTGTGGGTTTTTATCCCATTTGTCAGTTAAATTACAAATACTGGAACGTTTGATTTCTAGACTGTAAAATAAAGTGTTTTGCTCAACCTACATGCACATTGTATCACTGTCAGGGTTTCTTTTACCTAGGTTTTGGGTTAGAAATTACACGATATTAGCTGAAGTTAATGTAAATGCTTGATATGGCCAAAGATTTATGTACATATAAATGCTTGTCCCACTGTATGCTTTATATATTCGACTGGTGCTGTATTTGTAGGAGTTTCATTGTTTTATCTTTTGATTTTTTTTAACATTGCCATTTTTTAATCAGAATAATGAGATTTGTTCAAGAGTGTTTTTTTTTTCTAAAAGAATTATTTATGCGCGTAGAGATTGACTTTGAATCATTGAAATGCCAATGGCTTTGCAGTAGATAACATTTGTCATTCACCTTTTATGGCTGTGTTTATAAGTTGTATTAAATGACTTTTGGTCTCATGGGTACAATTGTAGCACCAGGCTATACAATACCATGCATGTACTAAGATTAAATAGAGAATTTAACGATGTCATTTGTTTTTGATTTCGTTGATTGAAAAATAAATTGAACTGAGGTGATTTAAATGGTTTAAACCTTCCACTACTAGTCGGAGCATAGATTTTAATTGAAAATCAGAAAAGTAGGATGTTAAATTCCGTTTCATTTCATTTATGTTGCCTTAAAGTGGCATTATGGGAGATTAGATAAAGAGTTGACAGTTCTCGCTATAATAGTTAAAAAATAGATAATGTAAATAGAATATGCTGAAAATTTCAGTCAAATTGCTCCTCTCTGAAACTAGATATTATCTTTTGAATTTTAGGCTAACCTCGATCCTCATTACTAGAGTTGGTACGATAAAAAAAAGAGTCTCGATTATCCATTTTTACGTTTAATTATTTTTCAAAAAATGTATTCCAGTCCTGATTGTTATTGCTATCTTTGTTACAATAGTAAACAAAGTCTTTATTACGGTATCCATTTTGGAATCGGATCATTAACTGCCAATCAGATGAAAATTGAGAGCATCTGAGTTCATAGAGAGTTGATTATAGTCTTGGCTAGTAAATAAGTGTCGTATTCCAAGCCAGCTTCTTGCATATTTTTCAAGAATGTAAATGTATTTTTATTTTCTAATCCGACCTTGAGTAACATGGAACGCAAATGCCTCCAGATTCCTTAAAAAAAAACTTGTCTTCCTTTTCTGATTTATGGAATCTATTGATGGCAGGTCTATGTCTAGAAATAGTTTTTACATGGAGAAATTTTCCCGCAGATTGTTTGTAAATAGAGAACGGGCCTGAAATAAAAAGCCATTTATGTCATGCTGAGAGAGATTGCTGTTAGGCGATATCAAGCCGATGCCATGGCTTTGAGGTTTCTTAATTTAGATATTTCTAATCTAATTGGAGATAATTTGTCGAAGTTTAAAAATAGACTCGACGGTATGTACAGTGTGTGTAGTCTGTGGTATATTTTTATTTTGTGTTCATGCCACACATTTTGGACATGTTTTCTTTTTGTGACTGAAGGCCACAGGAAAATAGGTTCTGTGTTAAAGTTCATTTGGTGTAGGAAAGTAAATCTTAAAATCACATTTCATTTAAACATTATTGTATGTGGCCCACTCATGCATGCGAATTATTGAACTAAAATTGTGCGATGTGTTAGTCCCCAAAAAACCTAGTTTGTATGGTGAAGATATGTTAGTCCCAAAATGACCTAGTTTGTATGGTGGATCCCCCTCCCTCTCCCCCTCTCTTTCTTTCTCTCTCCCCCTCTCTTTCTCCCGCTCTCCCCCTCTCTCTCTCCCCCTCTCTCTCTCCCCCTCTTTCTCTATCCCTCTTTCTCTCTCCCTCCCTCTCTCCCTCTCTCTCTCTCTCTCACTCATATATTCCCATTCATTTTTAATATGGGTTTATAAATTATTGTACATGTATGGTTGTATAAGTGTATGGAGTAAATGAGTAAATTTTATGAGGTCATGTGATGTTTGAGTTACTATTTTAAGTACATGTATGCAAGTCCATATATGTGTCATGTACAGTTTACAAAGTCCATTTATATCATCAGATACAGGGTTTAGTGTTATACATGTAGTTAAATAATTCAACACTTTTACAAAAAAAGTTCCATTCTAATACAATTTGTGTAGACAGTTAATTTGAGAAAATGAGAAGAATATCCATTTGTGGGGAAGTCGAATACAATATGCAGTAATAAGATTTTGATGAGCCTCTTTTAATCTGATTGAATCCAAGATGGGACATAACTGCCGTTAATATTTTGGTTTTATTTTTTTAATTGATTTGAGCACTGGTATGTGTACTTTTTAGCATTGGATTAAGTCTTAAAATTGAGATCTTTTCCGAAAAATGAAAAATTGGCAATTTAAATCTTAAATTGTTTTGTTTTAGTGTTGTAATTAATTAGGATTTACCATCACAGTTTTAAATCTTTCTCCTTGTTTTTATATTTGGTTGAATACTGTAAAATATTCCTGTTAAAGGGACAATAACACTCTTGCTGGCTTGACAGCTCCAGAAAATAAAAAATAGCCTTATTCTAAGTACTAGATGTGTTAGTGTCCTATCTGTTGTGTAAATTATCCATTAAATCCTATTTTACTTGTCCAAAGGGTTCAAAAATATTTTTAAATCCAAGTCACATTTGAAAAGCTTTACATCAGGCTTTTCAAATCATTTAGTTGAATTTTTCCAATTTTTTAAATTAGGTGTGTTAAGATGAAATTTGTATCATCAATTAATTGGAATATTGTAAAATAGTACAATTTGTTGACCAGAATAAAGATTGGGACATATTTTTCAGTTACAAGAGTGGTATTGAGCCTTTAAAAAAACACATAGTTCTATATTTTGACATTAGATCTATGACATGGTTAAGTTCCAATGTTCCTAATTACATGTATGCTAATATAAGCTTATAGACATTAACTAGACAACCTACATGTATACAGTATGTAAAAGAAAAACCCCATTAAAATGGATTAATCTTTAGTCTTTGATACCCAGACTGTAACATGAACTAAGAGAATTACATTAGAGAATACAAGGATTGGTATAATACCTGTAGATCAATACTATCAACTATTGGTATAATGTTCTTTTTAAATCCAGTAAATGATGAAAGTATTGAAAGAGATTAGGACATTAACATTAGATAAAGATGTGATTAAGTTGGTTGTTGAATCTGGTTGGATGTTATATAACAGCTAGCCAGTTTTATTGCTTAATTTGGCCTGATGTATAGAATTATGCAGACATAATAAGAGATAGATTAAATCACATATAATAGTCCTCATATTTGTTATGAAGAAAGTGGATTTGCACAATTTGGCTTTAAGGCTGTTCAAAAAAATGATTCATTATTGTGTGTTAATCCCAAGATCAACCAAGTTGTGTTAATTCGGAGTTTGCATGGTGGAGTTGTCTTATGCACATCCTACCGTTCTTCATTTGACAGTTTGTACTTATTACCCAATTTCATTTCCTTTCCATTTCATTTCATTTCCTTGATGAAAAGTCTGTTAGCTGTCTGTGGGGTTTCTTCCCCTTCCAAACACCCCATGCACACAAGGAAATTGGTGAAATAAAAATTTAATGTGTTTGTCCCATAGTTCGTGTTTAGTGACTGGTCGACCATAAATCTCTACCCGTGTTGACTGGATATAAATACTTTTTAAATCTTATACAAGTCTACTCTCCACAATCATATGGCTCTATCACGACTTATATGTTTAAATATTAATAAACCGCTTATGGGTTTAAATAAGATAATTGTTTTTTTGAGTAGAAAATGATAAAAGCATTTGATATCAACATGTATATATATGATAATTAGGACTGGGATGTCAAGTAAAAAGTGATTCTACTTAAAGCATCACGTAAGCTGCTTATGGATTTAAATTACACATATTGATAAGGTAGAAAAAGATAAAGGTATTTGATACAGTGTACATGTACTTATATATGATAGCACCAGGATCACCTCTTACTAATGCTACTATTTACACTGTCACATCGATTGTTGTGGTGCCCCCAAGAAATAATACATGTATTATAATGGTACCGGTACATGTATACTCCAGCAATACAGAGAGCTACTCAAATACGTGTTGCTCGGGCTGGTTTGAGGCAGTTGTAGGAAAAGCATTACAGTTTCAAACTGTCCATTGAATGATATACATGAAATATATTGCTGTTTGTGTAAATATTTATCAAGAAATCCGGGTAGTTATTAATATTTATATGTACTAGGGATTAAAGGGTTCAATCTAAATGGTTTGATCTATCAATTTTCATGCTCAGATCTGAGAGTTAGATAATAATCGTGTTGAAATAAGAGTGAAATTGACCATATGCCCATCATTAAGATGTTTATTTGTAGTAATGAGTTAGTAATGATGTTAATGAAGACATCAATTGGTAATTATTAATAAATTACAGACTATTGACTATCTTACCACATTAGTAAGGTCCTTTCAACAAGGTTTTAATAATTAATAATATTAATACATCCCCTGC